ATATATACATCTCTAGCTGTGCGCGTAGTGAATTGCTTTTGTTTTCTAACATCGCTGCTTTGCAATATAGCATTGATTAATGCAACTATATCGATATTTAGCTTATCTATGCAAAATGATCCCCTTACTAATTTCTGGTTGCTACAACCAGATCACGCGCAATTTTATTGATGTAGTTGATACAAAAGTAAGTCAAATCAACCATACGTATAACTATCATACAAAGATATGTAGAATGATGCAGCTATTTGCTTACAACTAAATATTTTTTATTAGGTGCACCACATCTCTTTTTTCCGTGTACTATTTGCTGGATATAATTTGCTGAATCTACAAATTATTTTGCTGTGAGAACTATGACGGATTTATATAAACAATTGCAGTTTTGTTTCGATAGCAAATAAATTTGCTAAGGATACATTATTTTGCATCAATAGCAAATTAACGTGACTCTTAGGACAAATACACTCAACAAATTTTTTGTATCTAGTGTTGAGATTATGTAATTCATTATTGGAGTTAATAACAGTTTCGTTATCAATTTTTCTACGATATACAAAAGTTACACAACGATAACGAAACTATTTTTAACTTCGATAACGAGTTACAGAATCTCACTACTGGCAACAAAACTACTTCTGCTCTGATAACGAGTAATTTGTAAAATTACTTACGTCAACTTACGTAATTTGTAAAATTAGTTACGTTAACTAAATTTTTTTATTGTCATTACGAATATGCAGTAGCAACGATGATTTTTGCTAAAAGAACAAAATTATTTTTCTCCGTGTATATATATATATATATATTTATTTATTTATTTATTTATTTACTTCAGCTGTATAGCCAAGAACTTTTTCTATATATTAATTGTTATGCATTCTTATACTCTATATATATTAATTGTTATACATTCTTCAAACTTTTTTGTTTTGTAATGTTTTGTAAACAATGACCATCGACTAAAACTTTTTGATAGTTATTTAGAACATTGACCGTGATAACATATATTGTCATTTTATTGAACGCTTGTTACAAAACTAGTATAATTCTCAAGTTTTTTCAAATAACTTTTTAATTAACAAAGACCGGTATATATACACGGAGAAAAATAATTTTGTTCTTTTAGCAAAAATCGTCGTTGCTACTGCATATGCGTAGTAACAATAAAAAAATTTAGTTAACGTAACTAATTTTACAAATTACGTAAATTGACGTAAGTAATTTTACAAATTACTCGTTATCAGAGCAGAAGTAGTTTCGTTGCTAGTACTGAGATTCTATAACTCGTTATCGGAGTTATATTTTCCTTATCGTTGCGTAATTTTTGTATATCGTAGAAAAATTGATAATGAAACTGTCATTAACTCCAATAACGAGTTACATAATCTCAACACTGGATATAAAAAATTTGTTGAGTGTATTTGTCCTAAGAATCACGTTAATTTGCTATTGATGCAAAATAATGTATCCTTAGCAAATTTATTTGCTATCGAAACAAAACTGCAATTGTTTATATAAATCCGTCATGGTTCTCACAGCAAAATAATTTGTAGATTCAGCAAATTATATCCAGCAAATAGTAACAAAGACGGCTATAACTGTTTGATTGTTAATTACAGTCATGTACTTGATAACATATGTGAGAGTGAAAGTCATCAGGGTCCGTTAATGTAAATAATTTTATATTTTCTCTCAGTACAAGAGTTATATTGTTGACTATATAAGCTTCTTAAAATAAAAGAGAGAAATTATCTTAAATATAAGATTGAACTATGAATATACAGTTCATTGAGTCGACACTTTCTACGATACACAAGATTCTACCTTACCCATATTAAAAATACGATTTTAGGAAAAACTGATGATAAGTTTCTCAAAAGCTGCTTTACGTTTAATATTATGATTCGAAGCAATTCGATTTGATTCGACGTGATATCAAATAGCGGCGCACAGTGCGCCAAGCACGGAATTGAGCGAAGACGTGTAGACGATCTCGACATATCTACCGAGCGATTTTCCCAAGGAGACTGGAAAAGATATCTCGCTGTACGCGACGTGCATTCATCCTATTGACCGCCGCGTTCGCCAGTACCGTCTGTCGGTCTCAACAATTTCTACCTATGTCTCGGTCGTGTGGAGAGCGTATAACATTCGATAACTAATCACCGGGGAAAGTTGTCAGATGGTGCTGCGACCGGATTCAGCCGTAGTGGCGGCACTATTTTCCGGGAATTTCCCGGGAGGCCCTACGGGTCGAGCCCTCCCTTTTCCCTTCGTGGCCTGGGCTTACTTTCGAATTCAGCGTGCGAGGGATCGGGAGCTGACCCCACGTGAAGGCTTTGTGGTTCGCGGAATGGGGTTTCACCCCTCACAAAGGGGTGGAGAGTACCATGATGCCGTCCGTGCCCGGGCACGCCATTTTGTAAGATGAGAGTCGAGGTAAAGTGCGATGAAAATCTTCGTATACGGTAGACGTTTGAATTATTAACTTAACACGTTGATGAAATTTTTGATGAATATTCGCGGAAGACGAAAATTAAATATCATGAATCTCGCGTTTCTCTCTGTATAAGTAAACGTAACAGAAAAACGACAGAATTTTGTTTGAGGGCATACTGACACGTCGATGAGCATCATAACGTGAGGCAGTACATTTGTATTTTAAACATACAAATGATGTCTAGACAGATTCGCAAAATTAATACAATTATCACTAGCGACTACATTGAGAAAAAAATTAGTTGAATCTACGAAATTGATAGTCAGCCACCTCCAAAGAAATATTGTGTTTATCGGACGAATTATATGTTAATGTAACAATAAGTTGCGTTGATATAGTCACTGGCCAAATCGTAATCATTGAATCAATTGATAACTTTTATCTTAGCAACAACATAATTCGTTTAATCGACTAAACATTTGCTTGAACGAATTTTATTTATATATTAATTATATTTTTTCTCGGTGTATAATAACACAAATGTCTAAGAAGCATTCTAAATATATTTAATAGACATCCCGATTCTGCGAACTTTTTTAGACGTCATTTAGATTGTACTACTTGAAAGCATCATACAATAGTAGTGCAAAATTTAGACGATTATATAAAAAATAAATGCGCCATTATACGTTGATATTCTAAAGCATATTCCTCAATAAATAATTTTCTTCCAAAAAATAAATTTTTTTTTAAGAGTAACCATCGTATTTCCACTTAGAGACACAAGATAATCGCAAGTTTAGACGACGATGCGTTGTTTAAGTAATTATAGAAACTTAAGTATTATATCTTGCTTACGTAATATAAAGTCCAAAAATACTATGTAAGATTATAAATCTACACGGAAAAAAAGATTTGGTTGAATTAACCAAATATCTGGTCGAATATGAACGATTCAGAAATTCCGATTGAAGTAACCCGAATTCTATTTAAGTCAACGAAAAATCTTGTTAACTTAAACAAAATTCGGGTTACTTCAATCGAAATTTCTGGATCGTTCATATTCGACCAGATATTTGGTTAATTCAACTAAACCTCTTTTTCCGTTTAAATTTACTTAAATATATAATAAACTCAATTTTCGTATAACCCGTGAAAAATTTATAATATTTTATATTTGAGACAGAGTTGATGTATTATTTATATCAATAATTCACGCAAAATGTGTAGATTATATATCGACATTAAATCAAAAGCTAATATTGTTGCCTATCCTAATTAATTTCCGCTTAGCGTATTAATTTTCTTTTGCCTTTATACGTTATGTTCTAATAGTTTCATCGTTGCTTGAAAAAATAATACTTTGTTTTTAATAAAAAAAAAAAAACAAGTAACAATTTTTAATTTTTTCATGGTTTATCGCGAATATATCAATAAAAAGTGTCGACATACGATATATGCGTTCAATAATTTATGAAGGGTTAATGGCACTTAAATGATTAATTCGTTAAAATCGAGTTTTTATCGAAAGATCAATCTAAATTTTGCGCTTGCGATTTCTCTGTCCCAACTGGTGGCGCCGTCTGCAGTTCGCAAGATTGCGATTCTTGCCACCATTTTCTCTGCTA